TCCGACCGTCGCTCGAACTCCGTTCGAACGTTGATTCGAAATGTGTTCGAAGCAACTCATTCGAATTATCTTTCATTTTTTAAATCAAGCATGAACTAATACTTCAAGTATTCCTTACGTACTCGGAGGATTCGTATAATTTTTTAATACCTTAGCAACATTTTTTAATACCTTAGCAACCTTTTTTACAGGGCGGGAGGAAGACACAAAAGGTGAATACCGCAGTGGTTTCTCACTGTCCCTATAGGATGGATTGACTTCAGGATCGTTCATCTGGCAGATAAGTTTCAGATTGGGAAATGGCATGAAAGCACACAAAATTTCATTGACAAGAACTGACCTCGCTTGCGAGTAGTTGTTTCTTTCGTGAATGCAACCAAAATGCGCTCCCGAAACCGAACGGATGACAGCCGTGGAACTAGAATTGCGATGGAGCAAAATAAAGAGACAATATTAATGAGGGGGCTTGAAGAAGATCATGAAATGGATATATGTCACGAAAGGGGAAGAATGACAATTGACAGGATTCCGCAAATCTATCGAAAATTCAGGGAGGAAATTCATATTTAATCTGTAGTAGCGTTTCTCTTCACCCCTCAAATCTTTCTGACGAAATATAACGGGTCTGTTGGGCGTTTGGCTAGGGTACATTTTGTACGCCTGTGCACATATGTAAACATTTCACCAAAAAAATTCACTGAATTCAAACATATCTACTGAAATTTAAACACTTAAGTGGTCATCAATGTCAAATCAACATCGCCACCCACCAAGGGCGGGTGTAAACTGACCTGATTATAAGGTGTTAGATGCTGCATTTCTGGTTGATATGGTGATGGAAACGCAAAATGAGCAGGAGGGTCTTTGTATTGATGTAATGTATTTCCCGGCTGCTTGCTTTGAATACGAGGATAATTTCCAAGATCCAGCATATCTTGCACCAAATCCTGGAGGGGGAATCTATAATAATTTATAATGGCCTTCATTAACTTTTCTAGTGATTCCCCTCCTTGTTGCAGAAGGGAATCTGAAGAAACGGTCTCCAA